CCCCCCACCCCCCGATTTTAAAGGATTAAAAAGACTTCTGAAGAACTGTGGTTTTCATTATGAAAACACAATTCTTCACAAATGTTGGAAAACCCACATCATGTTTCAAACATGATATACTGGTTTGGTTGGTTCTTAACCTTTTCCTTTCAGAATTTTCTGTTGCATGATTTCATTCTATATGGGTGGTTGACATAATTAATCCTACGTGTAATTGGCTAGATGTGTGTTTGTGCAAGTGTGTGTGTGAGAGAGAGAAAGAGAAGAGATATAATAAAAGTGGATTCAGAAAAAAATATTTCAACTGACACAGCGTGTCTTATCACAGCTGTTTTGCAGCCAACAAAGACAAACTTACCTGTGCTGTGCTGTAATCAAAAACACTCTATTCTAGGTTCTCCTCCCCTTACTTAGTGTTCAAAAAGTTACCATGCTGAAAACAGTGTTATCAGAATGAGTAGGCACACGAAAGGAAGACATACAAATTGGGCACAGGTTTTTTGAAAATGTCTGAAGTTAGGCTCCTAAATTCATATTTAGATGCCTGAATTACTGGCTGCATTTCAAAAGTGCTGCATATCCAGCAGCTCCCACTAGCTTAGGGCTGCAGTCCAAGAAGATACTTAACTCTGTGAGGATACAACAAGATACTTATCTAAGCATGTGAGTAGTTCAGTTGACTTTGAATGTCCTTAACTACTTTGTTATATTGGGATCCAGATATCTAAATATGGATTTAGCAGCATAAATTAAGTTGTTCTTCCATGTGTAGGGAGTGCAGGAAGCGTAAGCGATTACTCTGTATTTTAGCTTAAGATTTTTCTTTCTGAATCCTCTGAAACAGGTTTTCCTTGAAATTATATATATATTTGTTTTCTTTTGGCTGCTGCTTTCCTTCAGTCTATTTCTCTTTCTAATAATTTAAAACTACTGTTCATTATTTACATTAAACTGTCTCTCCTGGGTCTGCTTTCTGTAACCTTTCCCCTCTTAAGAATTCCAAGAATTCCCTGACTTTCCTCAGGGGGATTTTAGACATGTTTTATCTGAGACTTGGGGCTACGTTGTTAGTAATTTTTAAAAGTAACTATATTTAAACATTTACATTTAACCTCTGTATAGATTTGCCATTGAAACACGTTTTAACACAGCCACGTATGTAGGAAAATATGTAATTTTTATTTCACTTTCAGCCTTTTTTAGTAACTGGCTGTAAATCTCCACATGTATAATGAAGGAACCTTTACAATAATAATAATAAAAAAGGCTGACACACACCCTAAGGGCCAGTTATTTCAACTGCTTTTCCTGATTCTGTTGCATTCTTTTTCTTTTTTCTTTTTTTAAATGAAGACGTGTCAGAACCAGAGGCCTTGTACACAGTATAAAATGACCCCAGCACAAACCTCCGGCATTCCAAATCCTTTACTCCACAGCTGTTAACATCAGCCAATCCAGCACACAGTCTTGGCTGCTGTTAACACAATCTTTCTGTCTCCCTCCCCTTCCTTCTCCTCCATTTGCTAGAATGCTTAGTGATGTTTTACATTAGGCAAAGGCAATTATTCTAAATCTTGGTGAGTCAAGAGTTTAAGGCTTATGTATTTTGTTGTAAGTCGTTGTATATTAATACCATCCTTATCACTCCATCATCTGAGTAAAGATATTTTTGTGGAAAAGGGGCATTCTTTCCAAAGCACAGATTTCCTTAATTTTAAAGGCAGTTGCTCAGAAGGGATTTTGTCTGACGTACCCAAATAAAATTACTTAAAGCACACCAGTTTACTTACAGTTCTGGACTGAATCATATTTTTTCTAAAACACGCCTGAGGGATTAATATTGTCCCAAAAATTGTCTAACATTTTATTTTTATATTTGTCTACTCTAGGATATTTCAAAGATGGTTTGGCTTCCATTGCGACTTGGAGATCTGATGCCACAATGAGGACTCACACACGGGGGGCCCCGAGTGTGTTTTTCATAAACGTGGTTTATTTCGCATTGGCCTATAGTACTGATGAGAACCCAAGAACTGTGATTCCTTTCATCAATGCCAACTACGACAGCTACCCCATGCTTTACTTTTCTAAAGGAGAGGTGGGAGATTTGCGGCTCAAGGCGGTCACTACACATCAGCACATCACAGATCGGTTGACTGAGGCAGTGCAGACCATGCTATCCAATCCACTGGAGTACCTTCCTCCCTGGGACCCCAAGGAATTCAGCGCTCGGTGGAATGAAATATATGGAAACAACCTAGGTGCCCTGGCAATGTTCTGTGTGCTCTACCCTGAGAACCTCGAAGCCATAAACATGGCCAAGGACTACATGGAAAGGATGGCGGCTCAGCCTAGTTGGTAGATTTTTGTCTTTTTGTTCTTACTGCGTAAATTCTCTTGTAGTGGAATGAATGAATGTGTGAATGCATGAATGACGTTCTTGAGTGCATTACTATGCAGTTATAGGCTTTTATATTTGGTAGATATATCCCAGATTGCGTTTCAGTTGCCATGACATTCATCTTACTAGCAATTGATTTTGAGAATTAGTAAGTCCCTCTTATATAAAAAAGATATACAAATGACCTTTCATCTGAATTGGACATTAGCAGTTATAAATTACTCTAATGCTGAGAGAAACTACTTGAGGGTAAGATTAAATGCAACATAGGGAAGGTGGCAAAGTTTGGGGACTAGAAAATACTAATAGAGGTCTAATCTAAGGTGTTACCTTGTATCTCTCTTGTAAATAGATAGAATGACTGACCTGCTTAGATGGATTTCGCTAAAAAAAAAAGCAAATGGAGATAGTCTTCATTTGTAAGACACCAGTGTATCTCAAATGTTTAATTTCAAATTACATAAGATTGATACTTATTGGGGGTTTCTACACGTGCATTTACGCCAGCTTAAATTTACTGTGCAGTAATTTACAGTGAGAATAGGCTGGCATCTACACATGCAGGTGACCTAGGACTCAATTTAGGACTAAAGCAGCCTGCCATGTGCCCCTTTGGCCACCAGAGGGAGCTCCAGCTTCCGGCCAGATGGCTGCCAGCCCTTGGGACTAACTTTAGTTCCAAACTGAAGTCAGCAGAGGCCCCCTGTGTTACTGTACAGTAACTAATTGGGCATAAAATTGATACCTGCATGATGCAAGTATCAAATTTACACTCAAGTCAGCGTATGTTGCCATATTTATGCACAGTATGGGTGTGCTTGTGTAGACATGTACCTGTACTGTACAATATTTTCGGTTACATGTAAGTGCACCCACTGTCCCTCACAATGACAATACAGAATGTGTTTTCTTGATTAAATACAGTATGAAATATCTTATACCTGTTGAAGTTCAGTGTGCCACCAGTTACTGTTCTGAACCCTCTCTTGAAGATTTAAAAATTTGGATTAACAGGTAGTCTTTTTCTTGCTTACTCTCCTTGATTTTTTTTAAATATCAGCTGCTCAGTAACCCAACTTCAACCAGAGGATTGGACGGTACCATTGCCCAAACCATTCTAAAGCTTGCTGGTTAGGGCACTCTCTGGAAAGTGGGAGATTTGTATTGGAATGCCCTCAGGCTGAGAAGGGCCTAGCACTCAGGTCTCCCAAAAGTTAGGTGAGTGCTCAAAATCACTGGACTATTGTACAGAAGATGGCCACTACCACCAGCCAGTTCGGTGTAGGAGTTGTTGAAGTGTTCTGAATCACAAGTGAATGGAAGAAACTAATGGAGACCCTGAGTCAGGCATCTGAGTTCTTAAAAAGAACAGGAATTCAGACATACCCCTGCGTTTAGCATTTCCTCTAGGCACTTTTGCTATTTCTGGATTGCTTTTAGGTGGTCCACTGACTGTGTAGTAATTCTGGATGCATAAACCCAATCAAATTATATCAGCCTGATGAGACAGGGCACCTAAGGTATAGAGGTTCCAATAATTAAGTGAAGTACAATATAGTGCTTGATGGTGGTGTTTATTGTAGTACTTCTTGTTTCTATCCCTGAAGTATGGGAAGATACATTCATTCTATTTACTTTTACTGTATAAGCCCTGGATCACCTTTTTTCTTTATAAGCCAACCTTGTTTGGCATCTTACATTTCTAATACGAACCCTATATTTAGTGTGCAACCATTGTTGATTTTCATATATTTAGTAGTAAATGTCACGTCAGACCTGTAGTTTAACTTTTAAGGGGAAAATGTTACAAACCCAGTTCAAGTATGTTATTGAGTGATTTGTCTCTCTGTGCTTTAGACAGTGGCTTATTTTGAGGTCAGTGCTTTCCTCCTTATTTGTTCCCTGTAATGAAATATAATTGGAAAATACAGCATAAGAGCAAATGACAAGATTATTCAAGATTAACATCAAAACTCCACCTTAATGTCCCTGAACATACAAGAAGCAGCTTAAAGAATTAGGGTTTTAATATAAAAAAAAAGCACAGGAGAGATGAAAGTTAGAGGAAAAGAGGAATTGAATGCAGATTTTAAAAAAGGAACTTGTATGTATTCTTCATAAATAGTTTCTAAAAAGTAAAAGCAGTGATTGATCTTTTGCAAAATCTGCTTTCAGCTTGTCCTTTCCTAAATCTTTTTAATATGCTATTTCCTGTCAGGTTCTCTTTATAAATAGCCATAATAATTAAAAAGAACTCATAAGAAGACTTATCAAGCCTTGTCACTAGGGAAGTATTCTCTGTATGTCTTTTCATACTCAAGGAAATTCCCAGTACCCTCTGCTGGTATTTTTGGTTGTCACAAAATTGTTTTAAGTGTGAGGTAAACATTCCACAAAGGTGTCTCAGGATTTGAAAGACATCAGTGCTGTGAGTGTCACCACACCTTGAACTGAGTTGTTGAATAATCATGGTGATTCAGGAGCTAGAATTAGAACAGATGGTAGAAGGGAGTGGGCAGAGGATGCAAAAAACTAAACTGGGAATGCCACAGAATAGTAGCTTTATCCAGGGCTATGAACAGACATTCAAAAAGCTGGAGCCTGAATTGATTCAATCTTTGCTGGTTAGTCTAACCTGTGAAGATTGAACCAATTTGCTAGTGAATAGACATGCACTTTTGACTCCGGAAATGCTGGGATGTTGGAGGACTCTGATTTAACTTGAACCAGGAAGGGGTCTAGGACACAAGTTCCATAAACCAGTTTGACCTCAATTGGCTAAGTCTTATACTACATTCAACCAGGTTTATCTCAAACTGGTTTTGGCCATTTTGAAACTGGTTTATGTGCACTGAACTTATGTTCTGTTACAGGTTTAAGCCAGTTTCTGATCACTTAATAGTGCTTTATGTGTAACTTCTGTCCCTGGCCCAGGTGCCCATACAGGGAATTTTGAGCAAGAGATAGTGGTGTGACAATTGCATTCATACTTCTGACAATCAATAAGAATCATCCAGGACTGCTCTGTAAGCTTGGAAGAAGTTTCTGTCCTTTGACTTCTATCAAAATCCCCTGTACAGAGTGGGGTTTTTTTCCTCAGTATTAGTATCTAGGTTGAGAGAATTTAGCTCTTGGGCTTTTTGAGATGTCCCACCTTTCACTTTTTCCTGCTTTGCAAAGGCTCTGTAGTGCCAATCCATGGCATTATGGTGGAATTTATGGTCCAAAGTTTTTCATCAAGGTCTCAGTCCTAATCTTTCAGGCACTTGGGGACTTTCAATCCTAAAATATCTTGGAATATCTGATAAAAGATCACCTAAAGATAAAAATGGTGGTTACCAACTTTACTTCTCTGGCACCAAGCTACTTTATACAATATGGGTAAAAAACAGAGCTTAGACAGCAACTGCAGACTGTGAAATTAATTCCCTCAGGAAGTAACAGCAACCATCACAAACCTCAACACCTCCTTCTCTAAATAGAAAGAATATTTATTTGACTTCCGTAGTCCAATAAGCAGGTTAGAGTGGGTATATGTGTGCGTATTTGTATTTAATGTATGGGGGGCGTTTCTCAAAAATTTCTAAATGAAACACTTCAATGCATACTATTCTTACCCTGAAAAGAACAAATGTGTGACAGATGTTAGTTGCATTGGTTAGTAAACTTATGGAAGGCACAGGGACAGTACTGTGATGAGTTTGGTGTATGAATCTGTATGCAGTAGTGCATGAAATATCACAGTAATGGAGCTTTAGAAGACTTTTGCTATAGGGCACATCCAGACGAGCTCAGCCGTGTGGTATGTGGTGCTGCAAATACATTTGCAGCACCACATACTGCACAGTCTGGTATTCTCTGCATTGCAATGGTGTGCTGCCCAAGCATATGCTGTGCCGGGGTTTCTTTCTGAATGTTTTCTTGACCCATGGATATCCAGGGGTCAAAAAAAACTATGGGGAAAGAACCTGGAGCAACACATGCTCAGCCAGCACGTGCTGCTGAAAAGTGGAGCTAGGCTGCCTGTTGTCTTGCTGTGCTGCCAGGCAGACTCTACACAGCTGAATTACCACGGCTGCAGCCTTAGGAAGCCCCTGGGACCCCAGGTAAGGCTGCTGGGGCCAGCCCAGTGCTAGCCTGCCTCCCCTACCTCACAAGGGGCAACTTGCCACGCACCAAAGCCGTTGTGGCACAGGCATTCCCCGGGTACACCTCTGCTCCTTGTCCCCAGTGAAGGTACACCACTGCTGCTTGTCCCCAGTGAACCAAATGTCCATGTGCATCTGGACGCACCCATGGAGTGCAGTTTCTTATGCCTAATTTGCCTGGAATTTTGGAAAAAGGAATTCCTTCTATATTGCTATATGACTGCAGCCCCACTAATTTAATAGTTTTGATGCTGGTACATAGTTTCATATGGAAGCCCATTTTACCCCAGAGGTGTTTATCTGATTAGAAGGAATGTTTCAAATCTGGTCTGTTGCTGTTCTTTAAAGTTTTGCTGTTAGAACTTGATCCCTTTGGCAGTCCTACCTGGATTTTCTCTGTGATCTCTGCTAAAATTACACTGAATCTAAAAGTAACGGCCATAATTTTAAAAACCCCAAGTGCAAATCACTTCATTTAAGAAATATTTTAAATGATCTTAAATAAGTTTTGAGATCTGTAATAAAACCAAAATGAAAGGCATATTGGTGATGTTTGCAAAACTAAATAAAATAAATGTGGTTCAGCGTGTCACAAATCATTGTTCTAGGGCAGGTGTTAGCAAAGCTTTCTAACAGAGAGGCTGAAATGGCCCAGCTAGGGTCAGAGGAAGGTGGGCCTGGTCCCCTCTACTGCTTCTGCCTGCTGCATGCCTGCAGCATGGTGTGGGCACAACCCCTACTGCCAGTGCCCATGCCACCTGACTACAGTGCAATATGGGCAGACCACCATCTCCACTGGAGTCTTGGGT